ACGTGCCTGTAGTTCCAGCTACTTGGAAGGCTGAGGTGGAAGGATTACCGGAGCCCGGGGCTGCGGTGGCCAGGAGCGGCCACTGCACTCCAGTCTGGGCAACTGAATGAGACTCCAACTCAAAAATAAATAAATACATAAATAAAATAAAGTGTGGACAAATGTTTGAAATCTCTGAACTACTGGAATAACAGGTGGAGAACTCTGAGGGTCTGCAGTGAAGCCCAGGCTGAACGAGCCTCGTCATATGCTCTTGGCTCTAGGAGCTCCCTCCTAAGGAGGTTGAGAAAGCCGGGTGCGGTGGCTCACGCCTATAATCCCAGCACTTTGACAGAGCAAAGTGAGAAAATTGCTTGAGTCCACGGGTTGGAGACCAAGACCTCATCTCTACAATAAATCACAAAAATTAGCCAGGTGTGGTGGCGCGTGCCTGTAGTTCCAGCTGTGTGGCAGGCTGAGGCATAAGGATCGCCTGAACCCAGCAGGTAGAGGCTGTAGTGGCCGTCAGCGTGCCACTGCACTCCAGCCTGGGTGACAGAGTGAGACTCCCACTCAAAAAAAAAAAAGGTTGCGGAATTCCTTGGGGACAGAAGTTTAAGGGCTACTTGCACCAAGCGGCCAAGCATGCTAACCCCAAGAATTTTGAGACTCGGTCTGATAGGAAAAGTCCCAGGCTGTGCCCACCCGCAGACCTGAGACACAGACGTTTCCATGAGAAGGTGTGCTAGCGTCTGAGTGGACTCCCCCCCACCTGATGCGGTCCTACAGTCTCCTCTACCCACGGGGGACCCTGGGGGGACAGCAATGTGCTGGGGGAACCAGGAGGGGTCGGCAGCCACGGGGAGACAGCCGTGCGCTCGACAATCTACAGACGTACCAGGAGAAGCCATGCGCGGGGTCAGGGCCACTGCACGGCGCCCACGAGGCATGCTCGCCAGTGTTTAGTGAGAACCTAATCCACGGCCAGCATTTACTCCCAGAAGTCCGGGACAAAGGGACAAGGCCCTGACGCGAGAGGAGCACTCTGTCCGACGGGGGGGGGGGGGGGCTGGAGAGGCGGCACTGCGCTTGCGCAGGTTTCCGCAACCCACGCAGTCTTCTAGTGGGCGCGGGTTGGACAGCCAACAGCGGGAATCTGAGCGGGACGGCGCATCCTACGTTCCGGACTAGTGTGGAGAGATACTCTTGTTTACGTGTAGGACTACGAAGAGTATGTCGGAGTGAAATGTAACGACGTCAGTCCCCACGCGGGACGTGCCCACGAGGCCGGGCCCCGCAAGATGGCGGAGGAACGCCTCCGGCCGCCCGCGCACGCCCACTGCGCATGCGCCCTGGCCAGTCCCGCCCGGGAGAGCGGAAATCGCGTGACCCCGGAAGTGACAGGCCGGCCGGGCGGGCGGGGCGGCGGACGACGTTCGTCATTTAGTGCGGGAGGGAGCGAGAACCGCGCTGCCGAACCCTCCGGTGAGTGGCCACGGCGAGGCGGGGGTGACGGACTGGGGCGTGGGCCGGGGTGGCGGGAA